CTGGATCTGGTAACAAAATTACTATAAAACGGAAAGCAGCAGCTACAGAGGATACAGAAAAAACAGGACAACAGGATACAGATGGAAATCAGCATGGCACTGTAGGAGGGGTAAAATGCATTCCGTCTTCCCACCTTAAATATGGGACCCCTTCTGAGAAAAAATCTTCAAAGAGCAGCAAAGTAATTTCAATAGATATTCGGTTAATGTTACACCTTACAGGATTTATATTGCACTATAATCTTTATTTAAATGCTTAAAGATGTTCGTCCTTTGTTAACACTTCTTGTAAGGTATAATGATTTTTCTGACTTACATCTATTAACAATTATGATTGAGCTTAATTAACCTGTGCATATTTATTGCTCTTATGTTTATGCTAATACTAGATTTATAGAAATTTTTACTTACGTTCACTTAGGTCCCATAAAAAAGATTAATGCAGATGTGTTTTGTTTGTCTTCAAAAAAAATATTCGTTCTAGTTTTTTTTTTAATTTTAAGCCTCTGCATTGATCTGTAATACTTAATTATACTGATATTTTCTTGTTAATATCGACAATAATGTAATTTGCTTTGTTGTAAGCAGTCGTCAGGCAGTTTTAAAAAGCCAAGGTCAAGTTCTACTAGAAGTAAAAGAAAAGGATGCAGATGTGGTAATGCCACTGCAATACCTGGGAAACTTACATGTTGTGGTCAAAGATGTCCTTGTTATGTCGAAAGTAAACCTTGTGTGGAGTGTAGATGTAGAGGTTGCAGAAATCCTCATACAGCAGATGGATTAAAGGTATCGTTCCTACTTGATTAAAATTCATTGTATATTTGAGATTCTACCTTGAGATGTTTTATATAATTTTTCCATATTTCAGATCCGTCCACATATACCTGAACTTCATAATTTACAATTACAACTGTCCACTTCTTTGGATTGCGATGCGCTAAGTGGAGATCCTCTGGGATCCGTGCCGCAATGTCTCTCGACGTCTCCTACAACGATACAAGTGTTAAATGTATATTCTACTCCAAGACTAGACATTGACAATGTACCACAGAATTTACCTGCTGCTTTGTTAGTGGGTGAAGATGCTATGGTAAGTACTGAAAGTGAAGCGGAAGATAGTGATATACAAATCGATGTGTGACAAAGTATTTAAATGGACATGGCGGAGGGCCGCACCAGTGATTATCAAAGTGTGACGAATGCGCGTCTTAATAGGGAAAGAACGCGTCATGTAAATAGCTCAATTAGAATCACTAAATGGAATAATTACAAGAATCAAAAACATAATTATAAATTTACAAGGGTAAATTAATTTAGAGAAATATATCGTATAAAAAATAATAATTTATGTATGGTTTACTATTCAAATATTTGTAAATATTTCAATATAACATAAAAAATGCAAATATTTAATTGGATGCTTAATCATAGCGAGTCAATTTTGCCTATAAAATTAATCACTTATGATTTAGCATCTATTATTTTGTTATATATAGTATGTTATATGCGTTAGCCCTTTTAAACTTATGCGAGCGCTCGTAATCTGAACATTGTTCGGTTAATTGTATAGTATAAAAGGCAAGTTTAATAGAACATAAAAATGTTTCTTCCATATTGATTGACTGTGTATTACATGATGATTTTAATAATTTTAATGATGGATGAATGTATTTTGTTCATATCTTGTATACATATAATGTTGATGGCACAATTTTATATATTTTGAATACACATATGTGAGAATATATTTTTAGTTAATATACATTCTTAACGATAATTATCTGCTCATTCAACGATTTGAATTTATAATAAATTGTTTATTAATGTCACAAAAACGAATATGAACCTATATGAGAATTAATTGAGCTGTTTAAAAAAAGCGAGTTATATTTACGAGTTATATTCAAAAGTCGATACATTTAATATTTATGCATCAAAAAATATCTCGTTCAACTTGCCAGTTGTACATACAATGACAAAAAGATCATTGTCTATTTTGCATACTGGTTTTTATAATCTCTAAGTATAAAATGCAGAGTTTGTAGAACAGCAATCTGTTAAATTATAATACAATTTAGGATTGCATCGAAATAATAATAAATACTCTAAGTGAACAGCGTATACTAATAAAGAATCTAAATAATAAATGCAAAGAACGAGGAGATAATCTGGATATCTATATATAATACGGATTGTAAAAATTGTTATGTTATTTTATAACATAAGTCATAAATATATTTGGATAAAAATGGAATTTTTAGTTGCCTAAAGTTGAAATTGAAAACGTCAATAGCGTTACTATCAGGGTTGGTTTATCCGTAGGCACTATAAACATTGGCCTAGAACAGAAATTTTTTATAAACCTGTCTTTAATGAAAAATATTACTAAAAACAAATAGAATTTTATTATATCATAATTCAAAAAGAAAATAATTTGTATATTTATTGTGTATATTTAATAGTTTTTATTTTAAATATTCTTATATTTTGAATATTCTTTTCTCTTCTAAAATAATAGCCACAATTTAGATTACGTCAAAAAGAGGAGTGATATTTAAATAAATTAACAAGCTAGCCATATATATATTGAGTTGTCCAGAAAGTTCGTGCCGCAAAAGATTTAAATTTAATAAATGAAATTAAAAATTTAAATCTTCTGCGTTTCAATTTTTCTTCAAAATCGGCACGAATTTTCCAGACAACCCAATAGTTTCTCTCTTCTACAACAAAAATACATTTTTTTTCTTCCAATATACACATATACATACCTACATATACATAAACAAATGGATATTTTTCCTTAAGTGGCACTATTTATGTGTCTATAAACGGCTAAATTCAATCCTGGTTATTGTATATATTGTATAAAACTTATTTTTTATTATAGCAAATTTCGGAATATTCTATTTATACGAATATAATTGAACGTGTTAATTACTCATTAATGCATACGAAACATTAGTACAAAAACTAATTACTAAATATATGTAGAATACTTTTTATTTTTGCGTACAATTGTGTGTGCATGTACGTGAGCTCTCTAGAGCATCTATATGAATCCATGAATTGTTATTTGTAATCGCACTTAAATATTAATGATATACATCTTTTTCTCTTTCTCAATCCTTTCGCAATAGTCAACAATAGGATACACTTTCACAGTATGTATACAACTGTGTGATCTCATAGCTGTCTGATGGTAGTTTGCGAAAGTTCATCAATCATGCAAAAAAAGAATCCACGAAGTAAATGCACATAAGCTAATTCTTCTTTAAATAAGAAAAAGATTAATATATAGCATACAATATGACATATACATTATATAAAAATAAGGCGATATACAATAAAAAGCTCACAACATAAGATAAAATTAATATATCGTATTTTTATACATATAAAAGTTAATATTATCAAGTTACATGTTATTAAATATCATTTTAATTCATTTTAGTTCATAAATTTATTGAGAATTACATACAAATACAAAATAAATTAAATCTTTCTGTTTGTTAATTTTGTCTTATGTAAAGCTAATAGAAAAATTGAGGATATATATGAATTAAAAACCTATTTTTTAAATAAACTAGGAAAAATTACAAATTCTTTAAAATCAATTACATTAAATATCTCAATGCATTTTAATCAACATCGCACACTGATTACAACATTTCATATACATATATGTACATATTAAATTAAGATAAAGATGGCAGTCGGGACCTAGTTAGTTTAAATGACAACATTCAGGCATAATTGAGGAGTAACTTCTAAAATATCAGACATGGATGATCATTTGATCATCAATAAAAAAGCATAATACTTATACTAAATAGATAATTATAATATAGATATGTATATACTTCACATTCCAATATTTAGTTGGAGCGCGATTTCTTATTTCTATTATGAGCAAGATTGTGCCACAGATCTAGAAACCCGGGAAAAATCAGAGAAAATATAAAAGAGACTGGAATTTTGAACTTTATTCACAATTCCCTTAAACGGCTCTTGTTTTAAATAATTTTTATAATTTTTTAATTATATCTGATGTTTATAATCAAATACGTTTAAAATTCGTACACTTTAAAAAAAATTTTTTAAAAATGATTAAAATTTATATTTTATTCAGTAATTTTATTTAATCGCTATTTTTAATAATATAAGCTTTTTTACAATCGTTGATTTTAAATGTTAAAATTTTTTATATTTTTTATGTTAAAATTTTTATATATTTTATATTGGTCATGGAAATTTCCCATTTTTATCTGAAAAACCTGGAAAAATCAGGGAATTTTAAAATTCATATTCTGTGGCAATCCTGTATTTTGGTCTGTTTCGATGAACAAAATTTATTTTAACATTTTTTAATATAAACATTGTCGACGTTCGAAGTAAAATTATACAGCAAGCTAATTAAAAAGTTACTCCTCAACTAGAAGATCAATTATTCATGATATTTAAGAACCAAACGAACTGTAAAATACAATTAAATCTCGAAAGGCGAATGTTTGGATGTAATGTCTTGTATGTACTATATATAGTGTTCGTTAACATCTTTTTTGTTATTCAAGTATTAATGTAAGCATTGTGGAATTAAAAGAGACATTTTGTTTCAATTGTGTAACTTGTCAGAGGATGTTAAAACTTAAAAAAAAAAGAAAAAAGCGAGTTGCATATTGTCATGACATAGAATAGAATAAAAATATTTTACATACTAGAATTTGCATCATTTTGTAAAAAAAAAAGAAAAAGAAAAAGATACGACACAAGAATATGTATCTATTTTATTTGTATATAAGTGACATGCGCATAAGAGTCCTGCGATATATGAAAACATATTTATAAAATCTTTTATTTGAAATAAACATTTTTGTATATATATTATATTTTAATAATACAACTGATACCATATAATATGGTGTATATTAAGATTGTAATGCAAATAATAGAATATAAGGATGGACATGTCATTATAAAAATATTTATACAGAGATGTAGTTTTATTTTGTTCTATCTTTTGTTAAAATATTATGAAGCGCTTTTCTGTGTTCGCCGATGATTTCATATAATTCTACAAAAAATTGTTTGGCAGCTTGTTCTAAAAATGTTTTTCTTCTTACAACTGCATCTAATTTGTCTCGTGCCTCTTCTATTTCGAAGTCTACTGCTTGTGTATCTGGCATCACATCTTGCATTTCTTTAATTTCGTTTTTCAAGTTTTCTATGCGTTTTATAAGCTTTGCTTTTTTCTTTTTCGCATCTGCCTTCATTTTATTAATGTGAGATATTTCCTCCTTCAATTTGCTTTCATCTGGCAAAGATTTAATTTCTTCTTGCAGTTTTTCCAATTTTGCGATCTCAGAACGGATAAGAGACTCCGTCTCGTTGCATTGCTTCATCAATATTTCTTTGAATGTTTTTATTAAAGTGGCCTTTTCTTGCATTATATCCATTATCCGAGGATCCAACAATCCTTTTTCCGGGAGCTTCAATTCTTCGAAATTTACACCAACGTCGTTATCAATATGCATAAAGACTTCCTTATTATATGCTAATATTGCTTTATTGAGATTATTATTAAAAGTCGCAAATTTAATATCTAAAGAATACAATTCCTTTTGGTAATCTTTCAAATGCTCATCAAATTGATGTATGTAGTTTTGAATTTCTGTACATTTTTTAACAATGTTTTCTTTTTCAGTTTTAGACATTGGTTGATTTTTTACAATTGAGATTAATTCTTCGTATTGTATATCTCCTATCCGAATTTGTTCCTTTAAAACTTCACGTTCTGCATTTAATTGATCTGTCTCAGCGGAAACTTTCTTTATACAATCCCCCATGGTTTTAATATTGCTTGATTGTTGAGATTCCTTGGCACGCAAAGATGCTAATTTCTGTTGTAAATATTCCAATTTTTCGTCAAGTTTCTGTGATTCTTCTTCATGCATTTGTAACTTTATTTCTTCTTGTTTCAATTCTTTTTGTGCTTGAGCTATATCATCATCAGTAATACCTTGTTGAACTAGAACATTCTGCAGATATTGTTCCAATAATTCTGCTTCCTCGTCACGATTTTCAACAGTCCAAGCTTTATAGCATTCCAACAGTGCTTGAAACTCCATTTTGTAACTTTGAGCCTGCTGCTCCGTTCCTATGAATGGTAATGTTTCTAGTTGATATTTATCGAACGCGATTTCTTTCACTTGGCATGCTTCTACCAACCAACCGATCCAACCGAGAACATTGGACCATGAATGTGGTGCATTAGCAGTTATCAGCCACGATTTGATTTTGCCAGGATAATGTATCTTTTCTGCACATTTTGGTAATTCTTCTACGTAATTTGCCATTGTGAGAGCATGTCTAACACCAAGATACTTCAATAGGAAGCCAGAAACTTCCACAAACATCTTCAGTGTAATCGGTCTCAAACTGCCATTGCTGTTTAGCATTGCTGAATATTGATTTACATAAAAAAAATTATCTATTTTGTTTAGCAGGGCCGCCTGATAAGTCTTATCCAATAAGGGTCTTGTATCCTTTCTGGGACCTTTAATGCCCACGCTGCTAGCACGGTCGCCAGATGGTGATCGACCTATCGGTATTGACACATGATGCTTGCTAGAACTTGCTGTAAGTACTACGGTGGGTACATTAAGCTTAGTGGAAACTCTTATTGGAGTGATTGGAGTTATTGGTTGACGTAGCGGAGTTCTTCCTACACACATACATAAATCGAAAATAGATTTAAATAAAAATCTGAATATCTTAAATTAAATTAATTAAGTTACATTACAAAGGTGAAAGTGAATTAATCAACCTAATGATCTAATTGTTATAAAATTGATTTTCATTTTGATCAATAGTAAGATCAGTGTGATGGTTGAGTCATAGTAACTTACAAGATAAACATAATAGAAATAAGAAAAATGAAAATAAATATAACGATACCAAACAATACAAACAATACAAAGATAATGCAATTATCTGACTTTCACCTTCATTATTTTAAATTATCAAGTCTTAAGGCTATTAATTTTTTTATTTTAAATCTTTGGCTTTGTTGATAAACGTTTTCTATGCTTCATATAAGAGTCGACAGGAACGACGAGCTAACTCATTTACATTTTATTTGCAATGAAGATGTCTGCATTATATATTTTACTGTAGAAGAAATATTTTGCGATGAAATCTTTTTTACAAAGCTAAAGATTAGATTTGCAATTTAACATATTATAATAAAAAATAAAATTATTTGCAATGCAGATACATGCTGATATTTTATGTCCTAGAAGTAATATTGCGTTTTGAGAACCTTTTAGCTTCTTTTTTTTAATGAAATTACAAAATTACAGAACCGGAGTTTACAATTTGGTTCTTATAAAATATTATAATAAATAAAATTTATACTTCAACTGTACTATAATGTAGATCAAGGTTGCGTTCTGTTCATGATGCACATGACATATCATTTTATCTTTCTTTAATATTCGATGAACAACAAGGATAAAATAGTATATATTGCGCACCATGCATGAAACGGAATGCATCTCTGGTAAGATATCAAAACGAATTTTTATTCACTCTTTTAAAAAAAAAAGAAAAAACTCTCTCCGAACAAGCTTTCAGGCGATTTTCTTGATTACAAATATCGTAATTTTTTTAGCTGTAATTTCAGCACAAAGAAATTCATTTTTTACAGAGGTCTCTAGTCTTTCTGTTAATCTTAATAATTAGAAAAAATAAGAATTTTCTTATAAGAAGTATGCTTTTTACATGCAATGCTTTACCTGTCGTTTTCAAATACGATTTTCTGCCAAGTGATCCTGCTCGGTCACTGGAAGAGCTTCTAAAACGAGGCCTAGGAATATGTGAAGCTTCACCCTTTGATTTCCTCAATGTTTGTGTTTTTCGCTGATCGGTTCGGGTCAAACTTTTGTCATTTCGTTCGATCGTGGATACTCTTATCGGATTACTAGATGATCTATGTCTGACTGAATTCTGCTGCATATTGCATAAAATGATAAAACGCAAACCCACAACATTCACAAATCTTTCATTCGTTCTCGCCGAACTTATAGAAGAACTTGAAGAATCCAAGAAATTTGAATTTTCAGTTAGCCAGTTGATACCAGTATAACCAATCCAAGGTAGCAAAATTCTCTGATATGTTCAACAGCTGAGATAAATTGGCAATCTTGGCATCATAGATATATGTAATATATATATGTCGTAATAGATATGTGTCATAGATATATGTATATATTAAAAATTGATTTTTTGAGGTCTGTCGCATTGCTTGATTTCCTAAAAACTTTTGTACTTAAAATGAGATATATACATATGTATTCGGTGTTGGAGAGAGAGAAATCGAAGATACTGAGTGCAAAAAGTACCAAACAACGTGAGAATTTTCTGTACTTTTTATGTTTCCTTTTTCTCTCTTCAACTGTGCTTCGAGATGTAATTAATGTATTTATTTTGTATTAAATACAGGTGCAGATTCTGAAATATTTATATAAGGATATTTATTTATATTATTTGGAAATTGATTTTCGTCCGAGGTATGAATTTAAATAGAAACTTGTTGAATATATGTGAAATGATTAGCGATTAATTGCATCACGTTTGATGTCAATAATTTCATAACAAAATGTGGAACAGAATGCTCACGAGATTTTTTAGTACAATTATTAAAATTCAGAGAGTGCAGAAAAAGGTAAGGTTTTATATTGTGTAAATTTTTTGCAGTTATTAAGGTTAATAATTTTTTAATAGCAAATATATAAGAGATGGTTTTTCAATAATATCTCATGTAAACTTTATGAATTTATATATTTTTTGTTTCTATAACTTCTCAAAGAAATTTTTAATATTTTTTTAGAATTTTTAATATTCTCTGTTTTATTTCGATTTATAGATCTATAAGAATTCGACACTAAGCGCAACTGCTGTTTTTAAAACAAGCATGTGCACTGACATTTTTGATATGAATCTTTTCTCTTCAGAAGATAAAAAGAAAATACTCGAAGTAATAAATAACAAAACCACAGAAGATTTATTACAGTGAGTTAACTATTTTTGTAAAATTTTAAAAATTTCCTGAACTTACGTGCAATGGTATAAATTTTTGATCATTAATTGTTGAAATCATTTTTGTAAAGGTATTCCATTACTAAGAAGCGTGCACAGATATTAGAATCATATCGTGAAAATAATGGACCGTTTGAATCATTGGAAGATTTGTTACAAGTACAGGATATAAAAAACAAATGGATATATAATTTTTACAAATCAATTATATATGGCAAGAAAAGGAAAAATTCTAAGATTATGTCAGGCCTAGTTATAACTCCACGAAATATTGGAAATAATCATAAAGTACACAAGAAATAACACTCTTTTTAATTTTCTAATTAAAGAATTATATAAAAAATATTACTAGCGCTTTCTTTCTCGTCTCTATACATTTTTGTTCAATTCAATTTTTTTTAAATATGTTACAGAATGTTAACACAGTCTTAGGCATATACATAGGACATGACATCATAAGTTGGTCATTATTAAATCGCAATTGTGAAGTATTACAGTGGAGCTATAAATCTTTTCCACGAAAAGAACAAAAAGAAAATATTCTTTCTTTACTTCAAGCAGTAAATATTAAAACATTAAAAAGTTTTTATTATTTACTTTATAAAATAAACCTGTTATTTATAGAGTAAATACAACAGATATTTTATCACAACTTTTTTTTTAGACACTACCAATTGCTGAAAAATTACCAAAGGCCGATCGGTATGTAATGCAAGAGACCGGTGGTGATACGGGCTATATACAAAACACTCGGTTTTATCAAAATTTTATACAACGGTCTATAATAGGCGCTATCATTTTGTCTCACCTGACGTTAGTTGATAATAAATTTAATGGTATGAAAATTGTACTTTTCCATCATATTAAAGCTACAGACTAATGAATTGAAGGAATGTTTCTTTATAAAGAGAAATAAAAAATGTTAACTAAGATTGTTGATTAATAAACATAATATTCTTTTCTAATTTATATTATTGTTTTATGATAATCTAAATTTAATAGCAGTTTAAGGCCAATTAATCTTAAGTGTAAAGATTTCTAACTACAATTATCATTTAATTCGAAAGACAAGTGTTTTTATTACGATATTTTTGCTATATATTATATGAGAGAAAAATTTAATATAAATATTTTGTTATAATATATATTTTTCAGATACCACAGAGTTTGTTGCAAATAACATCTGTATACTTCGACAGCGTGTATTACGGAAAATCTATGGACTTGTAATAAACAACGAGACGATTTCCACACAATACATGCTACAAAAACTACTGCAGGGAAGCGACGAATTGATAAAAATAAAAGAACCAAAAGTATTAATAAGGACAGAATTAAGAAACATGTATAATGCACAAAGTTCTATTTGTCAAGAACAGATTGGTTGGTCATTATTGATAGCGTTAGCTTTTGTAGAATTAGTCTTACATAAAAGAACTGATATGGTCCTTCGTGAAGGACCTCCTCAAAAATAAAACGTTGTTATTGTTATTAATTTGATAATGAAACCAAAAAATGTTGTTAAAACATTAATAAATATATTTTATAAAATGAACAGATTGCTTACAATGTAAATAAATATCTTTTTTATAAATTATTCAAGCTATATGGCAGAAAAAAGAAAGAGTAATTCTGAAACTTCTTAAATCGATCCTAAAGAAAATCTATTTGTATCATAATCAAGGAAAGAAATCAAATGTCATAAAACAGAAAATTAATAATTATTTAGACATACTGCTGTAATAAAGTGAATATTAATTTACATTTATAATACAATAAGGCTAAACATTTGCAAAAGATTTGTATAAAAATTTTGCACTTTTGTTTCCTAATACTGTTCAGATACTAATTTAATTATGTTCTAATGTATGATTAATTTTACCTACATTTATTCTGCCATTTCAGTGGATTAAAATTATAAGAGGAATGTTGGCAATTCTCGTAACGCAAAACATTCAGCTTCGTTTTTCATTTAAAATAATTTATTTATATATGACGAGAATCAAAAGTGCGTAAACGTGAGTTACCAATAATAATAAATACAATAGACTTCTGTACAGGTCCATTCATTTATTATATTCTCACTTTTTATTATGCTATCTATTTATAGTATACCAAGTGTATATTGTTGCTCGCTGCTCGAATACAAACTCGCATCCGGTTATTTCATATAAGATTGTACAACGTACCGGGGCGTTTGCCAGAAAAATAGGATCACCCGGACGATATTTTGCAGAACCACCGAATGAGTATACAAGAGTAAGAGGCGAAGCCTCGCGAATGGGACACGAGAAGTTTCCTGGCGAACTGAATATACATCCTTCTATAGAATTCTTCATGCCGAGATGTATGAAATCACGACGACTGTGAGATACGGTATTACACGGGGGAAATATCAAATGCCCCGCTACTTAATCTCGGGCAGTGACGCTGTGTGATAAGCGTGTACGAAATATTAGCTGATCAAGCATAAAGGGAGATACATCGAATATTTATTTTCCATTGTATGCATCTAAGACTTGACTTTGGATTATAACCGCGCTTAGGCTCCATCGCGAAAATACGCACATGAACTTCCGAGCTCAGCTTACGCGCGTCGAGTATCGTGGAAAGGATTTGGAAGCTGTTTAAAGGGAATTTTGTGATGATAAAAGTGAATATAATAGTGAACTACAATGATGACTGTAAAAATGCGAAGATCATAACATTATGCAATTTAGGAGGTTCGCTTTGTGTAAATTGTTCTCCTTCTGTTAAGCACAACCTTTAAAACAGCATCCAACTTTTTTACGACAACCTGTACGAGAAGATAAATATAATGATAAATTACAGCTGTATGCATGAACAAGCTCATTCGATTAATTTCAGTTTGTCAATATGGCATATCAATATTAGTATATATTATTGAACATATATAGATATGCTGTTGAGAATCTGTTCCCCACTTTTGTATCGAGCAGAGAAATATTTAGAAAATATAAACTATTAAATATTCAACAAGACAAAATTTGCATGATAATTAATAATTAATTAAATCAAGATCACTTTTTAAGAAGATTCAAATCTTTTCAATGAACATTATATGAAAATATGTCTAAAGACATCATTTGCTACAAACCGTCAAATGAAATATATAATTCAACAAGAAACATAATTAGTTACGAGATATCGCTGAGATACAAGCATACAGAGGCGAGTTTTCTGATTTTCAATTATCGATTGGGCAAGCTTGAGCTATATAATGTAAGCATAATTGTCATAAGTATTACAACACTGCGTCTGCGACGAGATTCATTTTCTTTGTATAAATGAAGTTATATTATCGGAAAAATAAAATGAAACTGGACGACATGTGACGCGCGTCTTACAAATTTATATTACAAAGCATGCGCACACAAACTCGTTCAATTTGCCCTCGTCCTTCGATTATCATATTATCTCGGTTTACACTTATCTATTATATATGTAGATAAACCTGCTGCTCAGCATACAGAAATCTTTAGTAAAATCTATTTACTTTTCGATATATATATTAACAAATTATATATGGACATATATCTGCATCGTATCATACAATAAATCGGATCGTGCGCATCTGATTCTAGATTACTTCGAATCATATCGCTGCCAGGTCAATACATTATAATTATTAGAATTATACCCGATCAGACCAGCTGGAAACGAGTGTCGACATACATATGATATTTTATATATTATTTATATATAT